GCTGTTAGGGTGAGTGTTTTAATATGGGGGGCTCTAGGATGAGATAGACCTGGGTTCAAATCCTTGCCATGTCATATCCTTAACCAAGTTACTTAACATCTAGCCTTAGTTTCCTCATCGAAAATGGGGATAATAACAATCCCTGTTTTATCTGGTTGCTATGAGGATTAGATGATATAGTGCATGCAAAAATCTTAGCTTTGTTCTAGGCCCATAGCTGATGTTCAGTAAGCGACGATTCTTTTTATTAGTCCGGACAGGTCAGGACTCTGATGAGCCTCACCCATACTGAACTTTGAGTCTTGGTTCCCCGCTTGCCAGTTGTTTGCCTCGGACAAGTTATCTAACTTCTCTGAGTCAGTATCCTTATCTGTTACATGCAATTTGTAATTTGTACCTCCTGGTGAAGGCAGAATGAGATCAGAGCTCCTGACACATAGTGAGTGCTCAAAATATTAGTTTCTTTCACCTTTGGTTGTCGAGTATCTGAAATACGGCCTCTTTAAGCTTGTTAAGATTCCTCACCAGCCTTGTATACAGCTGTGTTCAGACAGCTTTGGCAGAAGGAAAGAGGCTTTTTCAAAAATGACTGTTTCATAATCTGTTGGCTCAGATCTGTTGCTGCCACACCCTGTGCCTCTCAGGGTCCCTGGGTCCTACTGCAATTAGCATGTGCCTTGCCTCTCACCTACATGACCCCGGAAAGTGGCTGCTGGGGAAGGCTACTGCATGCAAAATGGATTCTCTTCCCTGCTCTTTGGGGGTAAAGCTGGCTCAGGGATCCTTAGCTGCAGGAGGAGGGGCTGGCAGGCCTGAACTGCAGTTGGACTTCGTAGCCAAGAGTTTTCTGGTTTTCATTAAAATTCTCTGGCTGTCTTTCGGGATTGCTCCATTGACTGTGATTCAGTGCTGGAGCTGGTTGTGCTGTTCTCTCAGCTACACACACCCATCGAAACCACAGTGATCCTGAGGACGAGAGAAAAGTGAAGGTGGGAAACAGGCTGGCTAAGGGGCCTCACTCAGCAGTCTTTGTGTAAGGGACTCCCGTCTACGGCTGCCAAGCTTGAATTGTTTGACGTCTTAAATACAGATGGGGAGACAGACATAGCTGAGCTGGGCATGGAGAGCAGAGAGAATCCTCTTACAGCTTACCCTTGATGATAGACTTGTTCTTGAGGGNTTTTAAGGGGAAGAGATGTAATACAAGATATTCTCATTTGTAGGCGTTTGAGAAATCCCTTAAAATAGAAAACACATGAATATTTGTTTTCTAACACAAAATAATTCAAAGACCTGCCCATGTTTCTTGCCAAAGCTTTTTCCTTTTCAAGTTCCAGCCAACCCACCCCAATTTTTTTTTCTGATTTTATCAGTGAGAAAAACCCAGTGATTGCTTACTATTAATACCAACTTTTGAACGTTTCTTATCTATTAATGAATCTTGCTTTTTAACTCTGTTGGTGTCTACTACCCCTGATTTACTGCAGTTCATATCTGCATCACCTCCCCCTTCAGCAGTGGTAGTTGTTTTTGTTAAAAAGGGGTAGGAGGTGGAGGATGGCAAAAAGGGTAAGAAGGAGCCGCTCATTACACGTGGCTGCTGTGTGACCAGGCAAGGATTCGATGTCACCATGCGCTGGAGCTAGGTATGCATTTATTCTTTCTTTCTTGTATTGAAAACTTTCAAATGAATAGATTAGTGCAAAGGACACTCAAAAACGCTTAGATTTCCTAATTCTTAACATTTTGCCACATTTGCTTTATCTTTATATATGCAGATCTGTGTTTTTTGGGGAGGGCGTACATCATGATAGTTTATCTCTAAATATGTCAGTATTTATCTCTACAATAACATTATCAAATGTCCTAGAAATTTAGCATGGATTCCATAATATACAGTCTATATTTAAATCTTGCCTTCAATCACTTACCTTTTGCTGCATAACAAATCATGCCAAACTTTGTGGTTTAAAAAAACACACACCATGATCCTGTGGGTTAACTGGATGGTTCTAATGTGCTCAGCTGAGCTTGGCTGGGCCCCCTCAACGTCAGCAGTCAGGATCCACCAGGGGCTGGCTGTTCAAAGTTGCCCTTACTTTGGATGGCTTGTCTCCACTCCAGAGGGCCTCTCCTCCTCCAGCAGAACAGGCCAGGCTTGTTCCCATGCATGTAGGCAGATTCCAGGAGAGAATGGAAGTGTGCAAAGCCTTTTGAGGCCTAGGCTTGGAGCTCACACAGCATAACTTCTGTTGCAGTGTAGTGGCCAAAGACTATATCACAAGCTCCTATGATGAAAGAAGCTGTAAGTCATATTGCTCAGGAGCATGGAGATAGTGGCCTGCACAATTGCAGCATTTTTGCAAACCATCTATCATACCCCTATTGTTCAAAGAATATTATAATAATGTTCCTTTTATAATGTTAATAATGTAATTGTTGTTGTTTTTTAAATCTGACATCCAATCAAGTATTGCACATTAAATTTAGTTGGTATGTATTAGGTTGTCGTAAAGGTCATGATGCATTTTTGCAATGAAAAACATAGAAAAAAATATGTCATGACTTTCCCGACAACCAGTATCTTTAGTCTCTTTTAATCCATGTTCACCTCTTTTTTTGTGTGTTTTATGACATTCATATTTTTAAGACTCCAGGTCTGTTTTCTTAATAATATCTCACAACCTGAATTTGTCTAGTTATTTCTCCATGATTTTATGTGGGTGAAACACTTTTGGCGAGAATTTTAAATCACTGATGTTGTATACTTCCCATTGTTTCACAAGGAGAGGCACATAATATTAGTTTATTCCATTATTGGTGATGCCCAGTGCCATCACTTGGCTCAGGTGAGGTCTGACAGATTTTACAATCATAAAGGTGCCAGTTCCTGGAGATAGTTTTGCCTTAAGTCTGGACATTTGGTGCTAAAGTTCTTGCAATCACATCAGCATATATTTATTTATTAGATACCTATTGTGTGTCTAGTCTTGAATTTAGTACTATGGAGGATCTAAAAGAATGGTAAGAAATGTTGCCTGTCCGATGGAATATACAGTTTTCATGAGGTTGAGTTACTCTTTTAAAAACTGAACAAAGAGTACAGGAGTGGTTATTCTAAGTTAATGATTAGTTTATAAAAACTCTTCATGGAAGTATAATATACATAAGAGAAGCGTACATAGAAGCATACAGCTCGATAAAGTTTTCAAACTGAACATGCCAGTGGAAACCAGCACCCAGATTAAGCAACAGAATATAAGCACATCTCAATAAGCCTGATTTTTACCTGTATAGAACTTATAGCCAAATGATGGTTGTCCTTTTCAATACCAATTTATGAGTGGCCCAAGAAAATCAATATTCTTTTAAGCTCAAATGGTGTTATCTAACGGTCCCTCTCTGTATTCATCAAGCTTGAGTCAGAGTAACATTCACTAAGCCCATCCATCACTGTGTCTCCTGCTGTCACAGTGCAGGAGGTGACTTCTCTTTTCCCAAGCGTAGCCTTTTCCTGTGTATTCTGTTCTGCCTCTCTTGACTGCTTTGGGTCTGGTTTTCCTTCTAGTTCTAGCTTGTATCTCCTCCGTCTGTCCTCTGTCTTCAGCTTCTTCTCTTCTTTGGCTCCTGCTCCTCACCCTCTACACTTCGCAGCAACCCTTCTGCTCCTCATCACGCTGCCGTTGTTTCCCTCGCCTTTTTATCGCCAAACTGCTTAAAACACTGTGTCCTCTTCCTCTTTAACCCATTCATCCAAATGCCCTTTGAGACGTGGTGTCCTTTCCCACAGTTCTAGTGAAATTTGTCAGCAAACGCCTAGTTATTACGTCAGCTTTTGTTCTCTTGGGTGCTGCTCCCTTGGGAAGCCTTCTCCTCTTTTCCTTGAGACTGTCCTGTCCCTAGGCTTCCATTGATTGTGCTCTCCTAGCCTTCTGCCAACTGCCCTGAGCACCCCTCTCTCGCAGTTTGACTTCCCCCAGGAAGAACAACAGTAATTCCAGCTTCTTTCTGACTGTATGGGAATGACACATCTTAGGACCTTTTTTCATGGACTATGGGTCATTGTGTTGGCAATTTATCTGCAGTTTGAAGATTGTGGTTTTAATCGTAAACTCTCAATTAAATTGATGTAAATTCTCTGCAACCTTAGTTTTTTTATGCTATGCCTGGTAGGCACTCAATAAATGTTTGTTGGAATCATTCATTCAATTATGTATATGTTCAATAAATATTTACTAAATGGTCATTTAATTGAATTGTTTGTTAAATTTAACAATAGTTTACATCTTTTTTCGAATTATGTAAGTATGGTTTTCTTTCAGCCTTTGCTGAAGTTTATTTGCTTGTGTTTTTCTAATTTGAGCCATTACTAGCTATATGACTCTTGGTTAAGCTATACTTAATCTCCAGAAATATTTCCTAATTTTAACACAGGTATACTAATAGTGCCTACCTTCTGGGATTTTGTAAGGATTAGATGAAAAAATGCACGTGGATCACATAGCACAGGCCAGCATATAGTTTTGGCTCAATACACGTTGGTTTTCATTATTATTCTTACTATAATGCGTCAGACACTGGACTTTGGTCTTCAAAGCAATTATTTTGTGTTAGGCATGATTTTTTTTCATTTTTCAAAGAAACAAACCGAGACTCAAAGGTTTTACATATGCAACTTGCCAGATATCACAGAGCTAATAAATTGCAGGTCTGGGATATCTGATTCCATAGCTTGTGCCTTTTACCTACACCAAAAGCCTTACAGCATCTTGCATGACACTTAGAAGGCAACTAGGAGTTATGTTAGAGTGACTGAAACAAGCTAATATTATTCTCATTAGCCTTTTAAAAGGTAGGATTTACCAAGGAAGTTGCATCCTGTTGTGGAAACTCCAGTCCTGAAGGTTAGATTAATAAAGATTTTATCTTAGAACCACAGAGTTCTAGGGTTTAGGAGGATGTTAGGTTTAGAAGGATTTGCCCACCCTGTTACTGAATTCTCTAACCATTTAGCCAAGAGGTCATCTGGTTTATTCTTTAACACTTCCAATGACAAGGATGTCATCAGTACCCAGGGCAGCTCATTCCACTTTCCACAGCTCTACCCGGGAGGCAGGCCTTCCTTACATCAGCTGAAGTCTTCTGTGTCTGCCCTGATGCCTAACTCTTGTCCCCTCCCTGCATGATTTCCCTCTTCCACGCAGTAACCAGAATTATCTCTTTAAAACACCAATCAGACAATGTCACTCCCCTAATTAAAACTCTTCTTTGATTTCCCGTTGCCCTTATGACAAAATCCAAACTCTTCTTTTCTGTGGTCAACAAGCCCCTGCCTCATCCCAGACATTCTTTCCTCCTCGTTGCTTGCTCAGCCTTGGTCCTTGGTGGGACGTTTTCCTGCCGACAGCGCCTGGGCTTCTTGTTCCTTCTGCCTGCACTCCTCTTTTCCCAGCTTTGCAAACGGCCGGCTCATTCTCATCTTTCAGGTCTCGGCTGAGAGGCCTTCCCTGATCGCTCATCTAAGGCCCTAATCTCATCATCCTGTACCCATCTCTCAGATCCCCTTGTCTTCTCCCCTCATGAGAATCCAAGTTCTTTGGTGACTGGACCGAGGCTACCATGTTAGCAGTAGTCTCCTCTACAAGTGGCACAGTAGCTGTCCATAGAGGGTGCTCAGTAAATGTCTGAGGAATAATGAATGGCCTCATGATTGACTGAATGTAGGGGTGCTGGAGTCATTAAAAATGGATTTAAATCTGAGCTTTGCCACTTCCTGTGTGACTTTGGGCACATTACAGTACCTCTCTGGGCTTCAGTTGCCTCTTCTGTAATCTAGCAATCTTATCTACCTCACAGAATGTTGTGAAGATGAATTCATAATCAGATGTATATGTACCTGCCACAGTACCTGGCACATATGAGGTGTTCAGTCCAGCTCAAAGCCTGGTGCTTAATTCTGAACATGTGTAGAAGAGTTCTGATAAATGGA